CGTGTTATTGTGGGCAAACAAGATTTATACATGTTTATGTCGATCGTACTCTTATTTTATATCCTTGTCCATGGCATGAAATCTGGGCTTATTTTGGGTTTGTTGTTATCGCTTATACGCCGTAAGAAGGTTCGGTTCGGCGTATAGCTTTGAGCTTCAGTTCTATAATTGATACACACGTAATTCAAATGTCTTCTCCACCGCCTTGTCTACCTCTTAACCTCGAATATGGTTGCGCAATTTATCTAAGTGATATATGTCGTTTTAGAGCAAATAGAAATTGGCTTGCCTCTGATACCGAATCCCCTATCATACAGGTTTAAGAAACATCGCACCAAAATCTTATCCTTTATCACCAGGCACGTCTGTTAGCAACATGCGGCGGGTATAGTTTGGTCAATAACACATAGAATACAAGGCCAGATACCGCTACGAATGGTCACTTACATCACTCTTTTAACAACTTCTACAGAGCGTATGGAACCGTGCACAAAGCAATGCATCTGCGCACAGGTGTCAATGTGGCCATCAAGAAGGTCCCGGCTGATTCGGATATGGAGGCCATTGTGAGAGAAATAACGCACATGCACAAGATGGAGCACGAACGCGTGGTGAAGTACTACGGCAGCTATTGGACTGAAGGCACACTCTGGGTGAGTAAAGCGTACATGTGTACTAAGGGGTGAGTGAAGCGTACATGTGCTTAGGGGAGTAAAGCGTACATATGCTGGAAGATTTGTGGTAAATCAGAAAATAGATTGAGGAATTTTATTTTCCGAATTTGAGACGGAGGGACATGAAGCTAAAGTTACCGGTGCAATACAGTTCAATAGGAGGTATACGAAGTAATAAGGTTAACTATCAGTTCATTAGGTGGTATTAAATAATAAGGATAACTTCAATTTCTAGTATTGCTCTCTGTAGTGATAGCTATCTTTGATATTCAGTACCAACTAGTAAACCTGAGACCTCGCTGGGAGAGGTAGGGCTGATTCTTTGGAGAATCCATAAAAACATAAGTGCAAATTGTTGAAGTATATCATGAAGCAAGTTCAGTGTGATATTTATCTAATTATAGATTTCTGTTCTATTTATAGATCGTAATGGAGCACTGTGCCGTTGGATCGGTGAATGACATCATGTCTCTGTGCCAGGTGACGCTAAGCGAATCACAAATCGGATGCATCCTCAGGGACGTTCTGATTGGCTTAGAGTACTTGCACAAGCGCAACGTCATACACCGGGATCTCAAGGCGGCAAATATTCTGGTGAGTGGTCAAGAAGGAATCAACACAGGTACAACACTAGCCCATGTGTTTTACGAAGTGGACACCCGGTATGCCCTGAGACAGTTGAAATACTTAATATTCGGAAGGCTGTGAATAAACGTTAGAGAGTTCCGCTGCCAAGGGCATGTGAGGAATTAGTAGGTGTCTGTCGAGAGATGGCACATGACTGTACTGATATATGAAGATAGAAGGGTTATACCAACACATGCGACACAGGCAACTCAGCACATCTGGGTGGTTCACGCGCTGGAGTCAAATTAAGATACCCATCCACCCACCCACCAGTGTGATACACGATTTTGCACGACCTAACTAAACCGGTAAATACAAGTGATAACTACTGGCGAATACTTTACAGCTCAAGAAGACAGAAGGATATAGTATAGTATAGCACACACGGCACATGACCACCAACACCACCAACACAGCCAAACCAGCCAAACCTTACTATCCCATACAACACATACATCTCAGCTCTGCTATAACCATCAAACACTTGCTGGTACATACGAACACACCCACACGAAACACATATTCATACATCCGGCAGATACTAATAGACACTGAACAGCGCGGATTGCCAACGCACACGAAACGAATATCTCTTACATGACATGAGCGACAAGTCCACTACGCCACTGGCCAGTCACGTACACGAAAAATTAGATGCTAAAACATACGTTAAGCAACACAAGCAACACATAATATAAGAACGAGCGACATACAACACACCCCGCACCTCCAGAGGCAATATGCGAGACTCCATTCCCATGGTTGACGTTTTATATCGAAGGATGGTTTACGCGTATACACTTTACGACTCGACACGTCTAACGCGGGTCATATGTTTGAACATCTTAGGACACCAATAAGCAGAGACAGAACCCAAACGGTAGGGTTTTAGGGCTTATCTACTGTATTTATCCCACAGAAGCCGTCCTAACTGGAAACTACACACCAATTCTGTAGGTCACTTCGGACGGCGTTGCGAAACTGGCTGATTTCGGAGTGTCGAGTCAACTCACCGACGAGCTGATGAAACGCAACACGGTCATTGGCACACCCTTCTGGATGGCGCCTGAGGTTATCCAAGAGGTTAGTATTCCTTGACACGGTATTGCAGGATTTACTTAGTGTGTGTATATAGGCTTGTGTGAACGGGACCTACAGTCTATGATTAGTTTGCACGTACTTGTAGTACACGTTCAAACTTGTGAGTTTTAGCGTCTGTTTATTTGAGATGGTGCTGATAAGTCTGTGTTTGCACAGCTGCACACACACACACATACATACATACATACATATATATATATACAAATATATA